CGTCAAGTGTAATACGTAAATTTTCTTGAGCATCTCCTTGAATACCCCTTGAATGGTACAGTGAGGGTTTTCTTTTCTCGTTGGTTTCTTTCTTGTAAATCCTAATTAGAATTTCCACAATCACTCTCGTACATATAGTTTGAGTTTCTTTGATGTACATTAACATCACATAATTAATTTGAGATAATATTTAAGCATGTCTCCTTGCATTGAAATAGATTTCTTTTCGATTATCTTGCAATATTATTCTAAGTTGTAAATCATTGCAAATGAAAAGTTCCCACAACCTTTTTGTTTTTTTTCTTTTGGGCAGTTCAACAGTAGAAACTGAACTTACGATGCAATGTTCCAAGTGAAAAAACCCTAACCACTTAAGCCCAAGTCGTATTCTTAAAAACTCCAACAACCTTATTGTATGATCTATGCCATCTAGACAAGGACACGGGCAACAAAATTCAATTGCGCTTAGCTGTCAAATGCAATACCAAAAATGGAGACTTGGGACGACACTTCCTATAATAAAATAATACTCTTTAAGAGAATAGGTTCTAGTTAGAGGTATCAATGGCAAGTGCCATAACATGTCTAAAGCTCAATTCTCACCAAATCTAAAGCTAAACATTAAAAGAAAAATAAAACATATTTAATAAATAGGCAAATGATTTCATGCAACGGATATATAGTAATATGATGCAACAACATTCGAAAACCATGTTATGACCATTTGTTTCATCTAAATTTTGAAATATACACTCTTTTCATTATAATGAACAATCACAAAAAATAAAAATTTGAAAACAAAAACCTAAGAAGTACTTTTTAAGCTCAATAACGTAAGCCATTCATTTTGGTAATATGTTTAGATCTAGACCTTAAAAGGATTTTTTATTTTCTGATATTTTTGTATAGCTTTATTATCATTAGATAAACAATATTAAAAAAGAAAACAATGATTTTGAGTTTATAAATGCTAAGATCTTATAATTCACCACATGAATGGTCTAAAATCATTTTTGGAAGGAACTTATGTTGATCATATCTAAAATTCAAATTGAACTTCTTTTTTTGAGATTGATCATTGAGATGAAAAGAGTATATAAAATTTTGGGTCATATAAATGCTATAAACATGATTATCTAGAAGTGTCGTTGCATTATACTATGATACAACCGTTGCATGAAATCATTGCCCATAACAAATAGTTTATACTTAATGAACTCGCGTGTAGAGCAATTCTTGACATTTTCAAAACAGATTTTATTCACCTTATGATAATATATCATTGACATTGTTTATAATGAGACCATTAATCTTTCGTACATGTCACGATCATTCTTGTCTCTTAAATTTCAAAATGAGTGGTTGTACGAGTACCATTAAATAAATGGATCCAAAAAAAAATTCTCAAACTTCATAACTCACCCCAAACCATCCAATTTAACATTTAATGAGTGAGAATGATAATGACCTCCGTATATAAAAAAAAAATTGATCTCTTTGTCAACAATAACTTTATAGAAATGCAAAATCTGATCATCCATAAAATAAACGGTGCAATTTAAACTTGGAATGAGAATAATTGTGTAGGTTTTATTAAACTGAAACCACTCTCTTACGTTAATTTTAGAGATGAACAAAGATGTTTGGAGACTTATAGGGTCAGATAAAGCCCCCAACACGACAAATGACTTGTATAAATCAATCCCACGGGATAAACACAAATAGACGAGCATATTTTCCATTTCCTACTTCATTTTGCACTTTGCAATATTTTTTTAAAAACACAAAAAGGGAAAACTACGTTTATACTTTGGGCGCGATTTATATAGAGCTGAAGCTCTAAACAATCAAAGTAGAACACACCTTCAACTTCAAATAGTGTCTATAGTTTCATTACTTGTAGTTTTATTACTGGAAATCTTTGTGATAACCTTAAAATATATTTTCATCTTCAATTATAAAATTTAAAGCTTCAAAAATAGTTTAGATCAAGCATAACTATAAAAACTTAAAAATCTTAAAAACTTACAGTCCAAAAATGCATTACAAGATGCACTATTTAAAAAACTTGAAATCCATTTTTTTCTATGTTCAAGGATCTTGATGTGAGATGATAAATTTGAGGATATTTAAGCATTAAACAACATCTTCTAGTGAAATTTTTGAGATGGACTCTAATTTGACTGTTTAAAGCCTCGGCTCTATATATAAACTTTTTCCTTATACTTCTGAACAATTTTAAATTTAGATGGCTAACCCGCTTTCCATGGAAGTTTAATAGGTGCTCTGACGACCATAAGGGCAAGATTTAATCAAATGCCAAATGATTTTGATATCAAATCTATCAAAATGGCCCATATTCTATCTTGGAGCAAATTTTTTGGGAAATTTTTAGTTCTGAAACCTTTGAAAAGAACATTAAAAAATTGATAACTGTTTAAGAGTTTTAGGTCTCATCATATTCTACGGTACTCGAGCCCAGTATAATCTTTTTCCCTATATGAAATCTAGGAAAGTAATGAAAATATCCCTTTTTCCTAGGGATATTTGAAAAATATCTGGAAAAGTTGAAAGAAGAGAAACGGACACATCCACTATGACGACAAGAGTAACAATTATTGGCCTCATATATGAGGAAGGGGAGAAGCAATAGGAGAAATATTTTGCCAATATCATCAAAATTCTCACTCATTAATTGTTGCAGCTTGGATTCTCAAGCACCTCCTGCAAAAAATAGAAAGCAAGTAATAAACTCACTTCCATGGCAAGATCAAAAACACAAGCAAAATGCAGCAAACTGTTATAATTCAAAACCTTACAAAGGCAGAAATTATTCTCTTTGACGAAGAAAACTAGGCACAGATTACCTTTTTCATAAGCACGGGCACAGGACAATTGCCAGGAACCAGCTTGATGGAGAGGGGTTGG